TATTTTAAAAAATATAAAATATTAATCAAAATAAATATCAAACATATTAAATATATTTTATATATTTTTAAGGTATTATTAAAAGATAAAAAAAAACTAACTACTGTACTTATAGATCAACACTTACAATCTAAACCTAAGTTGTAATTAGATTTTAAATATTGATTAAATATTTTGGTATTAAAGATTAACATTTGCCACTGTACCGTCCATCATTATCTTATTCCTCCCAAAAGGGGAGGAAACAGTGATGATTTGGGTGAAGCAGATAACGGTGAAAATTCGAAGCTACTTTTCTTTTTCTCAAAATTTCAAAGCTTGGTACCGATATTCTGGTTAGAATTCTAAACTTTCAGAGGAGGGAAAGAAAGAACTAATAAATTATTGATATGATTAAAAGGAATTTAGATTCTTTTTAAGTAAAATATGAAATTTAAATTTTATAAATAAAAAAACAAATGTTAAGATAATTTTCTTTTTTTATAGAGTCCGTAACTTGATGCAACTTGAAATCAAATTAATTGAAATCTAATCTAACCGTGAGTTCTAAATATTAGAAGGTAAAAAAAAACAACATTTTTTTTTAATCTACGAGTTTATCTTACCCTGTGCTCTAAGTTGAATCTTGATGTTAAGACCCAACAATTTCATAATAAAAGTAATTTAATGTAACCAAAATCGCTAACGTCGCCGCAGGCGTAGTGGTTATGACCATTGTATCCTTTGAGGAAGTGAGTTCGAACTTTATTATTGACAATTTTGTAACAAAATTTTGTCCAACCATTGAACCAAATTACTCATACGGTTCATCGGTTCTTCCAGTTTTATTGATTACCTCTGATTTTGAGCAGTTTTTAACTACTTAAATGGTTTTATATATCTAATCCAACTGAATTTATAATTAGACACCTAGGGGTGTTCATATCCGATCCAATCCGATTAAAAACCAACCCAAACCGATATAAAATTGAGTTGGTTTGAATTATAAAAATTTATAATCGATATAATTGGTTTAGTTTATGATTTTACTTTCAAACTGCCCGAACCGCCTGATTATAAAAAAAAATCCGATTATAAGATAACTTAATTAAATAATATAAAATTGGGTTGGTTTGAATTCGAAAATTTTAAAACCGATATAATTAGTTTGGTTCATGATTTTACTTTCAAACTGCCCGAACCGCCTGATTATAAAAAAAAATCCGATTATAAGATAACTTAATTAAATAATATAATATTTTTATAATAATTCAAATTTTCTTTTTCTTATTTTACTAAAATAATGACTTTGTTGATTTAATTAAAAATAAAAATAACATATCTTATATTTCTTAATTTATTTTTTATTTTCTTTTTAATTATATACCTAAATTTTAATTCTAAATTTCAAGTTTCGCTACAATTTTACTTTTATAAGTGAGTTGCAACTTTATTCTTAAAACCCTACTTTCTTGAGTGGCGTGCACTTGCCAAGGTTATCTTGCTAAGGTTGTCGTCTTCATTTTGCTAGGTTGTCGTCTAAGTTGTCATCTTCATTTTGCTGAGTTTATTCTTAAACACATAATATGGGTGTCGACACCATGGGTTAATAATTTAGAATCAAACTTTCTGTTTCCTGATTTACGTGGACATGTAATTCAGGGTGTCAGCATTATACATTCAGCATTCAACATTCAAGTTTCTTATTCTATTTCAAATCATACTTCTGTTTCAAATCCTACTTCTATTTCAATTAGGGTTTCTAAAACCTTATAAATACCCATCCAAATTCAGAATTAAAAGAGCTTAGGAGGCTAGTGACAGCCCTCTTTTCGGTATTCTTAGAGATCAAAATAAAGATTTAATAATTTGTTTATAATTTCTAAATGTTTTCAATTTTTACAATTGTAAAAGAGTATAAAAATTTGTTTATAATTTGTACTTTTTTTAATTATGTTTCTATTTATTTGGATATTAACGTATTTTATATTTATGTTTTTTACTTAATATTAAATTTATTTACATTATCTCATATATTTAATAGTGTTAAAAAACTGATCAATTCAACCGAACTATACCGATCCGATTTAAATTGGATTGGTTTGATTATCATATAATAGTAGATTGGATTGGTTTAAAAATTTTACTAACCGATTAGATTGGATTGAATTAAAAAATATTAAAATCCGAACCAAATCACACCGCGAACACCCCTATAGACACCAATTTAACCAATAAAACCGACCAGTTTAGTTTTAAAAAAACCCTAAATGGGTGTAATCTCAAGTAGTCTAAAAACTTAAGTTTAAATAAAATAAAAAATAGTAGTCTTTAAGGAAAACAAAATAATAGTAGTAATTTATAAGAGGCATAACCTAATCAACAAACTATTAGTTCAAATGAAAGTGAAAAAAACTCGATTCTCCTTAAATAAGGTTTCAAGTTCAAATTTTGTGAATGAAAAAACAAATGCTAAGAGAATTTACTTTTAATAGGATCTGACGCAATTCGATTTCGAATTAATCAAAATATAATATAATTATCAAATATTGAGAAGTTATTACCAAAAAAAAAATAACTACAAATTTATCACTCAACGAAGAGATAAGCACATATTTACCCTAAAAAAATAAAAATAAATTATTTTTTAAAATTATAAATTAAAATAAATTACTTATTTTTTAACTATGACATCATCTTTCTCTTAAAAAATACATAGGCAAACAAACATAATTCTAATGTCACATATAAAATAATATAATAATTTATCTTAATTTATAATTTAAAAATACAATTTATTCCTCTACTCTTTCGGAATCCAACCTATTCCTACTTTTATTTAAAAGGTGGATTTAAAAATTTTACTTATTTCATAAAACTCGGTTGCCATTCTAGCCTGAGTTCAGGTAATCTCTTAACCATTTATTCTATACATTTATCAATTTAGTCCCACTTTGTAACTTTCTTCACTTCAATTTCTAGTATGATCATGATTTTTAATTTTTTTTGTTAGTTTTTAAAATTCAAATAACTAAATTTTAAAATAAAATTACAAATTAAAAATTAAAAATTAAAATTACCAACATACTAGATATAAAATTTTTAAA